TAAAGGAACTCATTTTAACTGGAAACCCTCCCACCATAGAAGAAAGAGAAGATCTTGGTAGGAACCCACCTCACTAAATCTCTTCCCTCACTCAGACCACAGGCTGTAAGCCTGGGTGCTGAGCTGCCTACTAATCAATGTGGAGGGGGGAGGTTGTTTCTCTCAGGGATTCCCCCAGGCAAAGTCTTCATCCTTATTTCTTGACATACATTTACCATGAGATGGCACATACTTGAATGTCAACATTTGTTCCCAGAGAAAGATGATCTCTTCTGATGTATCTTGATTTTCCAAATGTGCAACGTTACATTGCAGATGGCATTTTACTTCCATGATGAGAAACGAACTCTTCTCCAAATTGCTCTGAGCTCCTGATCTTTCTGAGGGTGAGGATGCCCATGGCCACTTGATCACAGGCCAAGCAGCTGGCCCCGTCTTGGAGTGTGGTTAGAAGCAGCACACATGGTAGGAAGGCTCACTGGGGTCCAAACATTGTTTTACCCTTACTTTAGCTTTGACTCCACTGAGCCTGTTTCTTCCTCTTTAAAAGGAGTATATATATATTCCTTTTAAATCCACCATGGTGGATTTTATGTGATTGGAAAGGGGTTGGAGATACAGTTTTCTAGGCTGTAATGGGTAAGTACTGTTGTTGCACAAAAGCCTCAAAGGCATAATTTAAACAACTTGTGTTCACTGGGAGAAGCATGTCATGTCTTCTGATTAGGAGATGAATGCACCATCGTTCCGCATGGAGAAAGGAGCAGATGGGAAAATGCTTCTCCACTACTACTCTGATAGGAGTGGTCTGTGCCACATCATACCAGGTATGAGAATATCTTAACTGGTACCACAGTTATGAGGTCTCTGGAGTAAGGATGGTCTCCCCACAAATTCTCTAGGATGGTTAATAGCCAGCCCAGCTCTTCCATAATCTGATTCTTTGCCATCTTGATCATTACTCCCAAAGTCTTTGGGCCATTAAAATAAGTTCCCAAAGTGCCAAAAGAAGGAATAATTTCCATTTTTATTTTAACATTTTAGACTACATGAGTATTTACATAGTTATGATAATTCTGCATATATTATTTTGTATCAACCTTTCTTTGTGTATTCAGCATTATGGAGAAAGCATCCTTCCATGCTTTCACATCGTCTTTGAAACCCATTTTCAATGGCTGAGTGATACTCTATATTGTAATTAACTAGTCCCCTATTGTTGAATTTTTAGTCGATACTACTCTTTTGCTATTCCTGTGGTGAACATCTTCATGCATGATTTTCCCATGCTTATATTATAACCCTAGGATAGATTTCCAGAGCACCTCTTTTTAAAACCTGATCCTTAATGCTTTTACAACTAAATTTTGTTTACAATATTTCTAGAGTTTATTTAGTGAGTTAATTGCCTTCCTGAGATAAACAAACAAATGAATAGATGCTGAACTAGAAATTAGAGTGGCAGGGCTATATTTGGTATCCAGACATATATAACTTAAACCTCTACCCAGAAGTCATTTTATTTCTAATTTTATTAATCTATCATCTGCTGCCTGTCTTGATGCAGGGCCTGGGCTTAGTGAACTCTGGGATATTCATCTGAAGTCATATAACTTGATTACAAGTTTTGCTGACAAAACTGCCTCTTACCATCCCCCACCATAAGGTGTCCTGTTGTAGGTATCATTGAGGCTGTGGCCAAAGACTTCTTTGACATTGATGTGACCATGGATATCCTCGACATGAGTAAGGAAGAGGAGAGGACAGGAAAGAAGGAGGAGCATGTTGTGTTTCTGGTTGTGCAGAAGTCTCACAGACAGATGAGAAGGGCAAAACCAAACAGGTTACAAGACAATCAGGACATCCAGAGAGACCAAGAGGTACTGGGTTTGCTATGTCTCCAGAAACACAGATCCTCCTAGTGGAGGTACCAGTCTCAAAACAATCTATGCAAAGAACAGAACCAAATGGACCTTCTAATAGTGGATTTAAGGCAGAGTTTCTCAGTCTCAACACTATTGACATTTGGGGCCAGATAATTCCTTGTTATGATGGGCTATGTTGTGCATGTTTAGCAGCATTCCTAGTTTACCCACTAGATGCAGATAGCACCCTGCTCCCCAACTCCTTAGTTGTGGGAATTAAAAATGTCTCCAGGGATCATCAAGGGTCTCCAGGGTAGGGACAAAACAAACTTGGATAAACATTGGGAATTTTTCAGGGACGAACTTTAGCCTGGAACATTTTCACCTCTGAAAGCCGATATGAAGCCCAGACATTTGGATTTGGTGGCTTATTTTGCAATCCTTCTAAAATAAATTGACCTTTCATGTCCTTAGCGCCCACTTCTATAGCTGGGGCCAGTTATGAGTCTGGAGTCAATTCCTGATCCTGTGATTGGCTGCCTCAATTGCAACTTGTGCAGTGAACATTATCTTCTTAGGTTCTGCATATATTAGGTACACAGCTCTCTGTGTCCACACAGCTTATATAAATATCCAGATAATTCTGTGATTCCTGGAACACACAGTGTTTATATCTTAGAGCATTCAAAGCCCCCCTCAGAGTCCGTTCACTACGGAATCTTCAAACACAAGAAGAGATGTTCAAGTGTAAATTTTCTGCCAGTCCTATCTTGAGATTTGTAAGAAGTCCTTGTGGCCTTTGGCAGAGAAACGACATGAGGATTAACTAGATAAAAATCTCGGGGAATAACGAAGTCTTGCTAAAATTGACCTTGCAAGGCCTTGCTATTCCTCTGGTCCCAATTACAGCAAATGGGGCTTGTGCCTCTCCGGTCACATGACCAGACACACGTGCTTCTCTCCCTGCCATCTGCAGGCCCCAGAGGCGGCTTTCCTTAGGATGAAAGAGAAATATTTGAGTGTCTCTGTTTGTCCTGTGAAGAAATCACACTGGGAAATTGTGAGAAATATAGTCATGTTTGGAAAAGGTGAGTGGGCTGTTCTCCCGACCTTGGCTCTCAGAGCAGAATAGTTGCTTGGTGCACACAAATGGGGGCAAAGTCTTCTATGATTATGATGTCACTGATCTCTGCAGAGCTTGGCTTTGGCAGGCATGATTTTTAACTTTAAAACATCAGACTCTAACTTGCCTTCCTTCGCCCCTTTTATTTGTGCTGGGTGACACAGAGTGTCCCCAGTAATCGGGGAAAGCCACTGGAGAGAGGATGGGCCTCAGTTCCAGTTGGTGACTGTGTTGAAAGGAAGGAGGATGAGCACCGACATATTCTCAAGAACAATGAGTTTTCTATAGCTTCTCGGGCCTTCTGGATTGGGATGCATTTCTGGCCTAGAAGTCTGCAGTTAATAACCATGGTGTCCAATAGTGCAAAGGACACTGGATCAGGAGCCAAGAAAGCGGATTTCTGGCTCTGTCCCTGAGGAGCTGTATGGCCCTGAACAAGGTCCTCCATCTTCTGCGTGAAAAATGAAGGCATCAGGCTCTGAAGGTGCCCTTGTTGACACCGAGCCTGTCTCATGATCAGTACTAATGACTGAGCCAGAAGGAGAGCCCCGCCCCACTGGGAGCCCGGAGCTAGAGCCCTCCCCATCATGCCCCATGGGTCATGGTGACATGCATCTGGGAGGAGGTCTGCAGGGCTCAAAAGGCTGCATTTTGAGTCCCTCAAGCCATGGCAAGCGAGTCAAACACACAATTGACATCCTTTGTCTGGTAGATTTTCATATCAAAAAGGCTCCATTTCGAATCTCTACCCCCTGCCAAATAGGGCTGTTGGTTAAATTTTCATGTGCCACCCAAAACTGTCAGTCTAAAAAGCTCCATGGCAAATGTCCCTGACGCTGGGCCGGGCACACACGCTCTGCTTTGCTAGCTCATTGTCTGGCTGTCACCGTTTCAATGCCGGCTCTGTTTTCATGGCGAGACATACTCAATTGGCCCAGAAACTCTTCAGCAGCGGGCAGAAACTTGGCAGGGGGTGTGTGTGGGGGGGTGCTTCTCAACCCAGGAGCAAGTTTTCTGTTTGTTTTAATTTGGAAGAATTGCTGTGGCCATCTGGAGATGCTGAGGGAGCCTGTGATGGAGAGTGGGGACTGCTCTTTGCCCATGAAACATTTAAGACACTATCCTGAGCTCTGTTCTGTGCCAGGTTGGTGGTGTGAGCTGCTTGTGAACAGGACTCTCTTTTCCTACAAGCAGGGCATCTCGTGAACACCTTTGTGCCAGTTTATCCCGAGCAGCTCTCGATTGAACAGAAGACGTTCTGCAATGCTTTTCCTTTCCACATTGTGTTTGATGAATCAGTAAGAGGCCCTTTCCCTCTGTAGCTTGGATTAGGGTTAAGCTGGGAAGGGAATATGTCATATAGTCTTTCATGGCTGGTGGGGACTTTCAAGTCCCTGAGAAGTCCCTAGGGTTTGGGAGACTAGGATTTAGCCTGGCATGACCATTGACTTTTCATTTTGGCATCCTCCAGAAACCAGAATGCAGGCTCTTCTCCATACGTAGGGGTCAGAAGCAGCACCAAGGGGTCTAGACTAGTGAGTGCACGGGGAAGGTTTGTCGTTAGAGAAAAAGGAAGTGACACCAAAGTTCATGCCACCAAGAGACGAAAGAACACAGTCAACAATGACAGGGTGAAATTTTAGATGTGACTCCTTGCCGTCCTTGTGGCCACTGTGGACGTCTCAATCCCACCAAGCTTCTCTTTCTGCATCTTTAAAGCAGGGGAGAGGTCTGTGCCAATTCATGCCGCTGTTTTGTGGGAGTTGTGAGGATGACCATTAATGGAAAACGTTTGGTTGTTATCAATTTCCTTGGATAAAATTATGTCAATCGAATTGATTATGAGCTCACTTAAAGGGCAATTAGGCAAAATAAATTTGGTCAAAAATATCAGTTAAAATGGCTTCAGGTAATTGCGATTTTCTCTGATATTTATTTGAATGCAGACACATGTTTGAATCATCACCTGCCAGTTGACTGCTGGATAAGGGTTCTATGAAATTTACTCATTTGAGGGTCAGCTCTGCTTGCAAAGAATTGATCTAACTGAGGAAATCAAACACTCCTATAAGAAACAACTAGGGAATTATAAAGCAATGTGCTCTGGTGTTTCCCTAGTGTCATGAGGATATTATTATCGCTACCATTAATGTTTTAAATTCTGATGTATTTTAAAACTCCTTTTTCTTTTTAAGTTTTGGGTGTAGAATAACAGAACAGAAATTTAATGGTAGTTATTCTATAATGTTAAGTTGATTTCTGTAACCTAACAGACAGCCCATGGTCAGTGACGTTGTTTTCTGGGGCAGCTTGTGTAGACATTGGACATTTTATGTACAGGATACTCATTTTGCTTCTTCCTTCTGAGTGTTCCCTGGAGATAGCAGGGAAAGATGTCTCCTCATGTCTGTGATGGACTCCTTCACCCAGGCCTGGGTGTCAGATCTAAGCTACAGAATTTGCTAGTTTCTTTATTAATGAATTCTAAAGGGAGGGAAGGGGCAGAGAGTCAAAGAAAGAGAGAGACAGAAAGAGACAGAGACAGAGAAATCCCACAGAGTTAGGGAAGAACCGTTAGCCCAACTGAGACTTTTAAACTCTGTTTCTTGTTAAGGATATGCTTTTGAGCACCCCATACTATCCTTTTCTCTTTCAGAGATTAGCTGCCGATTTGATGTTTAAAATAATATTTATTATTTCTATGGTGTCTTTTCCATCACCGATCCTTTCTCCCCCTTAGTGAGTCACAGAGCATGCAGAATGGTATTTCCAAGGGAAAGGGTATGGTGCAGGTTGCTCTCTGTTTCCCTGTCTTACATCTGTCCTCTGTGGATAGCTGAGGGTCAAGCGAGCTGGAGTGAATATTCAGAAGTATGTCCTGGGACTCCAAACCCAGAAGATTCAATTAGATGAGTATTTCTCCATCATTCATCCCCAAGTTACCTTCAACATTTTCAGCATCTGCAAGTTTATCAACAGCCAATTTGTCCTGAAGGCATGAAGAGAAAGGATGCCCGAGGCATGGAAAAGTCAGCCTGCACTCAAACTCCGAGGTAAGGAGCTCAGCCCTTCCCCATCGCTCTCTGCCATTTGGGCCACTGCTCAGAAAGGGACCAGGCAGAGTTTTCCAGTTTTCTCAAAAAAATTGGATAGAAAGCGGGAGGCTGCCACTGGAGAGTTGGTGAAAAGCTTTAAAGCCCCGAGTGCACCCAAGTGGTGGTGCTGGGTGGTCACTGAGGAACAGATTCAGGAGAGAATTAAGGCAGAAGTTGGCGACTGAATGGATTGAATGTCGGGGTTGCAAAAGAGAAAGAATACTGAGGCTAATGATTAGGTTTCTTGCTTGGGTAACTGGGTGATAAGAGTGTAATTAGCTGAGAAAAATACAAGCTGTGAACTCCTTGCGGGCAGGGACTTGACCGGTTTGAGTTACTGCTGTCTCCTCAGTGCCTAGAAGAGCGTACCCCGCTCAAAACCTGGGCTAGGTACACGTGCGAGGAAATAAACAGATCAGCAGAGGGGACTGAAGGTGAGATTAGTTGCAGACAACCATGTGTAAATATCGATGAGTAATTAAAACATCACTGTTGATGGGAGTATAAATTGTTGCAATCATTTTAGAGGGCATTTTAGCAATATGCATCCAAAATGTTAAAAATGAGCACATTCTTTGTCTCAGTAATTCCCTAAGATTATATCCTTAACAAAATAGCCATGATCATACACAGTGACTTACCTTAAACTTGGCCATTGCCACGTTGTTTATAGACTGATAAAAGGGACATAATATAAGCAATGCTAGCTAGTTGCTTAAATAAAATAGGGTATACTCAATGTAGGCAGCAAAAAGGTATGATCATATCCATATTTATGCTATTTAAATGAAAAATTTTAAATGAAAAATTCAGATTACAAAGAGAAGATGGCAGATAACCCCACTTGTGATTATGGGTGACTTTTATTATTTTCTTCAACTTTTTTCATTCTCTGCCACGCATGCGTACTGCTTTTGTAATAAAATAATAAACATGTCTATTTTTAAGGAACTATGCACCTTGAGTCCAGGAAGCATGGTTTCTCTGGAAATTCAGATTCATTGTCAGCATGATGTAGGCTGCTGCTGTGGGATACTAAGAGAGAACACCTAGACAGAACCCTGGGGAACACCAGCACTGAAAGAATGAGCAAAAAAAAACCCTAAAGGAAAAATGGAAAGAAGTCGAGGGAATCTCAGAGAGAAAGCAGAGTCAAGGAAGTCTCTGGAAGCGCGGTTTCAGGGAGGCGGTTTCTGCATTACACCACCCAACAGCAGGAGGGCTCAGGAAGGGGGAGAGACAGACTCGTGTTGGAGTAGGTGTCTTGGAAGTAGGGACGGGGCCACCTCCAAGTAAAAAAAAGGCACTGTGAGACAGGGAAGATGAGTAAATGGAGACAGGAAGTCTAGATTGAGCTCTCAAGAAATGTGGCTGAAAGGGAAGGAGTGAGACTGTGCAGGGGATTCAAGGGCATATGGTGTGGGTGACGATCTGGTGACGTCACTCACCTGTTGGCGATGTGCTATGTTGTCGCATTTCTCTCTGTGATGGGAAGGCCAGATGATCTGGATGGAGTTTGTGCGCTGCCTGATGTACCTGTGCTCCCCAAAGCCCCGCAGTGTGCAGGAGCTGGAGGAGCGCAAAATGCACCTCCCTGACGTCGCCCCCCATGACACCACCAGCGATCTCATCCTCCTGAACCAGCAGCGACTGGCTGAGATTGAGCTGTCCAACCAGCTGGAGAGGAAGAAGGAGGAGCTGCGGGTCCTCTCCAAGGACTTGGCCATAGAAAAGAAGAACACAGAGACCCTGCTTTATGCCATGCTGCCCCAACATGTGGCCAACGAGCTGAAGGAGGGCAAAAAGGTTGCCGCAGGTAGAGCAGTCCCTTCTCTTCGTGGGGACCTCTGAGCAAGAAGAGGCAGTGCTCCTCAGCGGTTAGGGCACAGGCTCTGAAACAGGGCCGATCTAGCTTTGAATTCTGGCTCCGTCACTTGTCAGCGACATGACCTTGGGCTGGTTACGTAAGCTGCATGTCCTCAGTTTTCTTCTCCCAATATTAATAAAAATAGGAAGAATACAATTGTGAAGTATGGATTAAATAAAAATGCCTGTCAGCTACACCCACCTATATCACATTCTCTAAGACCTGGAAGAGTGGCCTGAGACTGGCCTCTGTCGGGGACCACAAATAGAGTTCTTTCCTCGAACCGGAAATAACATGCCCGCACTTGACCTAAATCATGGGGTGCCTCTAAGGACCATTCTGGGAGGAAGGATGCTGTGTTTACTCTGAACTCACTTTCCATTTGTCACGGGTGTGTGTTCACCCCCAGACACACGTGGCAAAGCCAGTCAATGCCAGGGGGCTGTCAGGTCTTGAGGACCCAAAGGAGTTCATAGTCTTGTGGGTTTGACAGATATATACAGGATATATTCATGGGGGACGGGGCAGCCAAAGGAAGGGAAACTCGTGTGCATTAAGGAGCCATGCTTGTGTCAGGATCTGGATTATACATTTTCATATAGGCCATTTCATTTAATTTTCTGAACATTTCTGTGAGGGAGGTGTTAGTATCCCAAAGAGCTGAGTGAATTTACATTCACCCCAGTTTATGAGTAAACGAATTGAAGATCAGTCAGAAGTCCCTCTAACTCCAGAATTCATACTTTGTCCGTAACAAAGGTGTGGAAACACAGATGCTAGGGAAGTTAATAAGTAGAAGTCAGAGAGAAAGATACAGGATCAGGGGCTATGAGGCTTTACATAAAGTGTATGGCACTTGAGTTAAACCTTGAGACTGTATTTCAGCGAAAAAACAAACAAACCAAAAAAAACAAGAAGAAGGGAGAGGCATTGCAGGAGAATGGTATGATAGGAGCGAAGGTGAGGCAGAATAAGAAGGCGGATAATCACAGATGGTATGAATTATAATTAAGGTCATCTGGGGGCATGAGTTAAAGAAGGGAAGAGGGTTAGATATTGAAGCTTAGGGAACACCTATTATTTAAGAAGGAAGAAAAGCCAGTGGAATATATAAAACAAGATCAGAAAGGTAGGGAGAATATGAAGAGAGAACGGTAGGCCAGAAGCCAAAGGGAAGAGAAAGTTACATGAACGGGAGATTATTACCAGAGGTGTAAATAACACAGAAAGTACCCAGCTCTGTTCAAGGAGTCATACATTCAGTCATCCACAAATATTTACTGAGCATCTACTATGTGCCAGGCCGTGCTCTAGGCGCTGGGGATATAGCAGAGACCAAAAAAGTCTCTCATCTCATGGAGCTTATACTCCAGTGGGGAAGACAGGCAATAAGCAAATAAACAATCCCATATAAAATAGGCCATGTAAGGCATATGGGCTTGGGGGCAGCAATGAGGCTAAAAGGATAGAGTCGAGGGACTGTTATTTTAGATAGAGTGGTAAAGGAAGTCCTCACTGAGGTGGTTACATGTGAGATGTGAGACAGAGCTCCTTGGATATTTGAGAAATGAGGGGTCAGGCAGAGGAAGCAGCAGGTGCAAAGGTCCTACGCAGGAGGCACTTGCGAAACCCAAGGAGGTCAGTGTGGCTGGAGTGGAGTAAGTCAGAGAGAGCGTGGAGACGTGAGGTCAGAGAGGTAGCGGCGACAGAGGGGGCCCCTTATTGGCCACAGTAAGCATTTTCTGTTTTAGTCTCAGTGTGATGGAAGTCGATGGATGTGAGGCAGAGGAGTTGGGGGTCTGACTTAAACAGATCATCTAGCTGCTATATGGAAATTCTCAGGACCAGAAGCAGCCTGATGCATTAGGAGGATGTGCTGAGGATATGGTGGCTTTCTCACCATACTCGGATAGCGGAACTCACCACGTCATGGTGACCAGTCTCTATCAGCCCTGCCCCTGGGTCTCTGCCTCAGCCTACCTGCCAATGTCTTCTCTGTCAGCCAGTGCCCACCCAGCCCGTTTCTGTCCTGCCATGCCTCTCATCACACCTTACCGGGTGTTCAATTATGCTTACGTCTCCTCCACTGGACTGGGAGCTCAAGGGCTGAGGTCCTGTCCGCTTCATGTTAGGTGATTCTCCCCGCATGATGACTGGCTCATAGCAGGCCCTCAGGGAAGGTCTGCTGGCTGAATGGCATCCGGCTCCTTCACCCCAAGGCACAGTCAGATTTGGTTCCCAAGGGGCACCTGAATCTAGAATTCATAGGATTATTATTCCATATCCTTGGCTATCACTGACACCTGGTTTATGTTGCAGGAGAATTTACAACCTACACGATTCTTTTCAGTGATGTGGTGACATTTACTAATATCTGTGCTGCCTGCCAACCTATCCAAATAGTGAAGATGCTGAATTCAATGTACTCCAAGTTTGACAGATTAACCAGCGTCCACGAGGTCTACAAAGTAAGTGTTTGCGAACCGTGGGACGTGTGCCACGGTGCGCTCAGGCAAGAGCTCCGTGCTCAGCCTTCCTGATCTTCGTTGGTCTGCGGTTTGGTGTGGATGGGAGTGGGGTGAGCGGGGAGAGCTAAAAGGGAATTGGAGCTATTTTAGGAATTTTAGTTTTTTTAGAAATCCTTTTATAATACTCAGTGCTAAAATGCCTTTGCAGGGCACCCTGTTTTCCCGGGGAATAATTCTACCCCTTGAATTCAGCAAGAAGTCTAATCTAAATAATGTATGTCTAATACATAGCATCATACACTAACCCAGGGTCTTTGTCTTCTCTGGAACTTGTTTCTGCCAGAAGCAGAAAGGCCTTTGGGCTCTCTCATGGTTGTTTGTGGAATCATTTTTCTTCTTCCCCCTTCCCTCATGCTCCTCATCCTCCTGGCAAATAACCACCAGCTTTAATATGGTCCTTCTGTCAATACACGGAAAATGACAAAAGTATTTAGTCATACGTTTAATGCATTCAGGAGACCCTCTGAATGTCCCTTTCCCCCTTACAGGTGGAAACAATAGGAGATGCTTACATGGTGGTGGGGGGTGTCCCGGTGCCTATTGGAAGCCATGCTCAAAGAGTGGCTAACTTTGCCTTGGGGCTGAGAATTTCTGCAAAAGAAGTCATGAATCCTATTACTGGAGAACCCATCCAGGTAGAGAGAAACTGAGTACTTTGCTGAATACCAACCATCTCACGCACGCAAAAGTAGAATTCTGCTTATTAGTCTGTTCAGATGGTTACTGGGTATGTTACAGTGATTAAAATGGGTGGTTTCTCCCAACTCTTGTCTTCTCTTGCACATGTTCTAAGTAATCAAGATAACAGTAAGGATATCATCATCCCAACTTTTCTTAAATTTCAGAGGAGGCTTTGGAGCTTGGGATTTTCATGGGATTCACTGCAAGCCTCTTTGCCCATAGTGCTGAGCACGTCTCTCCATTTACTCTGCAGGGCTCAACCCATTTTGATAGCTGGCTTTTTATGATTCCGGCTTTTTAATTTGAGCATTCAATCCAACAAGTGGTTCAGGTTTACTGAATAGCCAACCCCTTCCCACCCCAAGGGAAACTGTGTATTCAACATGCCTTCTCAAAGGTTCAGGAGTCAGGCTTGGGGGGAAACTGCCCTCAGCAGTAGGCTAGACACCAGGGTGCTATGAGGTATTTAGAATAGCTTTCCTCCCACCACGTGGCCCTGAGTGAGACATCTGCTCACCTCTCTCACAGGAACCTACTCTTTCAAGCATGGAAGTTCGTTCACACTATAAAAGATGGATAATTTTGGAGATGAAAAGTAGATGTCCTCTTCTGTCTGCTCAGCAGATCCTAGCTGCCCTGAGATGTCTTAGAGCAGTGTTTCTGTGGTTTAAAATGTAATCCCTTCTCTGTTTCTGGCAGGCAGCTCTTCAAGATAAACTACCCAGCCAATTCAAAATAAATAAAGACAACTTTAAGATGGAATACGAATTTTCTAAACTACAACCCCTACATAGGAGATTCTGAAGATGCAGTCCACTCCCCCTCATGATGAGTCTGACACTGAGAAATGCTGCAGGTTCTGCTTATCGTGCCCACTGTAGCCTTCTGAGCAAAAGCTGCTTTTAGGTAGTTCCAGGAAGAACACATCCACAATACTCAGCCCATCAAAAACACACAGATACAACTGTTGACAAAAAGCCCCAGTGAAAAATCAAGATGGGAGAGAAGGAGGGAATGAGAGAAGGTCAGATAAGAGATGTGTGTTTCGGTTAAAGGGCTGTAATATAAGCCACTGAGAAAAAAATAATTGAAAATATACTGTTGTGTAAATAGTGTGTGTGTATAGGGTTGTGTGTGTGTGTGTGTGTGTGTGTGTGTGTACGAGGCGTGGCTGCAGAGATGACGGTAATGCTACACCAATAAGAACGAAATTAAACAATGAATTCCGGGACACTCTCAGGGTGGATTTACCAAGAAGAAAACAGGAAAAGATGTTATCACGTTTAAGATATGAATAGGGACATGGTTAGGAGCATCATTAACTATCCACCAGAAACAACATACCCTGTGGGTTTATTTAAGGAAGTAGGGAAAAGGACCTGAAACATTTCTCTCTCAAGAGAATTGAGATCAGATAGTACTCTTGGAGATCTTCTATTATTTCATTCACATAGCCTTCAGTCTACAGGTACTGAGGTCCTACTATGCACGAGGCAGTGTTACTCGGTATTTGACAGCTCCTTTTCCTATAGGAACAGGCAAATTCATCTTCGGTAAAAGAAAGAAGAAAGTGGTTACCCCTGCAGAGAGGGATGGAACTTCACTGGACAGGGGCACAAGATAATTCTGCGAGGTCATGAAAGTAGGCTGTATTTTGTTTTGGATGGCAGCTCCAGGGCTATATGCTCTTGTCAAAACTCATGGAGCTAACGACTTAAGATCTGTCTTCTTATTTTATGTAAATGATACCTCAATTTAAAAAGAAAAGCAAGAGTATTCGATGGCCCCATTTCGGTAAGGTTCTCTCTGTGCAGATCAGAGTCGGCATCCATACGGGACCAGTCCTAGCAGGTGCGGTGGGAGACAAGATGCCCTGGTACTGCTTGTTTGGTGACACTGTGAACACAGCTTCTAGGATGGAAAGTCACGGGCTTCCCGACAAAGCGCAGCTCAGTCCCACGGCCTACAGGTAGCCAACCATGTATTCATGCCTTCCTTTGACTTCCCCTACTTCCAGAATGCACAGAGTGCCTAGCCGCCATGGGATGGGGGTTGTGAAGGAGACCTATGGTTCTTCTTCCATGCCACCCAGGCTTACAGAAGACATTGTGTCGGATAGTAAATATTATTGAACCTCTACTATAAGACAGCTTTGCTCCCAAGGAGCTGATGATCTAAAGCAGGGACTGGCAAAGTACAGTCATAGGCCAAATCCAGCCTGCTGCTTGTTTTGTAAATAAAGTTTTATTGGAACACAGCCATGCTTTTTAATTTCCTCGTTATCTATGGCTGCTTTCATGTGACAACCCCAGAGGTGAGTAGCTGTGGTGGAGGCTGTCTGGCCTGCAAAGCTGAAATTATTTACTATCTGGTCTTTTACAAAAAAAAGTGTGCTGACCCTTGGTCCAGTAGAAAAAGAAAGAAATATTCGACAAAGAATTATTTTTGAAAGCATGATAAGTACAATGATAAAGATAAGCATAAAATAAGTATTATTTTAGAACTTACTGGAGGCCAGCCGAATTCTGTTCTAAGTTCTTTTATGCATGTAAGTTCATTTACTCTTGCAACAGCTCTATGAAAATGTACTATTATTATTCTTATGTACAGATGAGAAAAAAAGTCAGGCACAAAAGGTTAATAACGTGTCCCAGGTCCCAAGTCCCAAGTAGGCTAGGAAGGAAAAGTGTCTTGGGAGCCTAGGCGAGGGTGACCGAACCCAGTAAAGAAATCCTTTGTGGGGGAGGAGATTCCTGAGCTGAATCTTCAACAAGGAGTTCAGAGTAGGATTTAGCCAAAGCTGAGGTTTGGGGAGTGAAAAACCAGCAGTACAAGCACGGACAGAGCGTAGGAACAGAGAACTACAAACAATTCAGCTTGCTGGAGTGGAAGACATGAAGCAGAAAGTAGTGGGAGCCGGGTGTTCCCCGTCGAAGAGCAAGGGTGCTCGCTGTAGGTGAAGAAGAGCCCCTGGGGAATGTGAGACTGGAGACAATGGTGGGGTCAGGGTCCTATTTGACGCTGACTCTCAAGACCATGCAAGGGCAGATTCAAGCATCAGGAAACGGGAAAGAGAAGGCCCGTGAGGTGTTGGGTTTGAACCAGAGCACTGGTGGTGGGAGTTCAGGAGAAAGTAAAATCAGCTGAGCTTGGTAATTGCTAGAAATGGAGAATGAGAAAGAGGGAAGAGCCTTGAATGTCTCCCAGACCTCCATGCTGGGTGACAGGGACCTGAATCTCACCACCAGAGATAGGACAGGTAAGAGGGCTTCTAGTTCACAGAGGCAGATGATGAATTCAGGCTTGGAAGTGCTGAACTCAAAGGAACTGTCGAGCATCTGAGGTAGAGGTGCCATTACATGGCTGGGTGAAATTTGGAGTCGAGGTGTTGGCTGGGAATCCCGACTTGGAGAAGGCAACATACAGGTGGCAATTCAGCCATGAGACTGAGGACATCACCTGGGGAAGGATGCAGTGGGAGAAGAACAGTGCAAAGAGCAAACATTTAAGTGGTAGGTGGATGAAGACAAGCCCATGTTAAGAGGCAGAAGAAAAGAGTTCAAGCACCCTTTTGGGTATTTTTAGGGAGGAGGAATTGAACAAAAATGTCAAAATAGTAACAAGGACAGAAACATATGCACCAGAAGTTTTAGGGACACTATCGGACGTGGTTGTGGTGGAATGGTGGGGATAGACAATGGGCTACGAGTTGAAGGATTAAAGGGAGAGAATGTATGGGATTAAAGCAGGAGATAATAAAGTGGGAAGGTTTTTGCTTCTGTTTAGGATGGAAGAGACCTTAGCAGGCTAGTGGGTTGAGGGAGGACACAAATGGTGGGAACTAAAGAGAAGGGGAGAGGTGGCTGATGGGGCCAGCCCTTGAGGAGGTAGGAAGGGAGCATAGATCAGGTGCCCTTGCACAAGACACCTCATCCTCAGGAGACTGGGGAAAAAGGGAAGTGTGGTCACGGGGGTGAGAAGCTGTGGGGTCTTGCCTAAAAATGATTACAATTTTATAGAAGAATCACAAAGGTCACAAAGTAGGAGGCACAGCCAGCAACTTGAGAGTGAGGAGAGCAGGTGCCAAGTGGGGGAACTAGAGGAGCCCAGTGAAGGTCTGAAATCTCCACGGAACTGGCCAAGGACCAGGGAAGGTCGGTGAATGCCGAGAACTGGCTGAGGCACCTGACCATGAACTGGAAACATGGCTGGTCTGCACTGTTCTGTGGTTTCTCTCCAACACCTGGCAGCCGCCAGTAAAGAAATGGACAAGCAAACATTTCACAGTTATCCCATAGCTCTGTCTTTTTTCATGGTCCCCTCCCTATACTCTTCTCTTTGGTTCCTTGGCAGCCAGGGGCCATGGAGAAAGCTTGGGGAGTGAGAATGAGCATGACCACATGGGGTAATGGGGTGCTTGGGGAAGATGGAAAGGAGTGCTGATTTCCAAGGAGCCTCCTGTTTCAGAACCACGTGGGGCTGGTGCACACACAGGCAGAGAGGACATGGTTGCTGCAGCTTGCGGGCTGTGGGTATGAGCAGTGTGTTGGAGGGAGGAAAGGAGGGCTAGGGTCACAGGATTTTGATGGGTCCCCTGTGCTCTCACTCTGCCTCTGGCACCCTGTTCAGCATGTCTGAGCTTCATACTCCCTCCTTGCCCCACTTAGCAGGACTGGCTAATGTCCTGGGGTCACCCTCCCCCCAACAATCCGTTGTGTGCCCTGGGACCCAGACTCCTCCTGAATCACCTTCTCCATTGTAGCCAACTCTCAAGTTGCAGACCTGTGATCTTTGATATCTGGTGCATTTTTTTCCACCCTCTGTGCAGCGCTCTGGAAAATCAAGGCTTTGAAATAATTGAGAGGGGTGAAATCGAAGTGAAAGGTAAAGGGAAAATGACCACGTACTTTCTGATCCGGAACCTGAATGCCTCAGAGGACGAGATCATGGGCAGACCTCAAAGCCTGCTTGATCGCAAGGGTGAGCATGAAGGAAAAGCCACATCTCAGTGCTGGGATATTTTTTCCACTAACAACCTTGGATGTGTTTCGTGTGGCCCTTAGTTATGCAGGGTCAGCAAGGGTATCATCCGGTCGCACCCCCTTCCGTTTGGTCGAAGCTCCCGAGAATCAGAGCAACCAGGATGAACACTTGCATCCTGGATAGTCTGATGTTCCTTGAGCTGGGCTGGTGGGCCCAGCCTAAAGAGGCCCTCATGCGTTCATTTTCAAGGTTCTTTCCTGCCCCAGAAAAGGCTTTTTCCCATCGGTCTCTCCTGTAGCTGGGGGATGATTTTAGAATCTCTCCCTGCTCCTCAGCCTCAGAACGGGCTTTCCTTGCAACCTTCCTCATTTTCTTCTGGCTTCGGAAACTGGGAAGAAGGACAAGATCTGTGACTCACCCAGCTCCAGGAATGACAGGAGAGTGGGTTTCGGTTAAAACAACCCAGCGCTAAGCCAGCCCAGGGATCACCATTTGGCTCATGTGCTCACACACAGCAGCAGCTGGAATCCAACGAGGAGGTCTCCATGAGCCGCCCTCCGCCCCACGTGGCCAGGACCCTTAACATCTGCCTTGGTTAACTCGGGGCGCTGCTGACCCAGAGGGGAGACCCAGTAGCAGGAGGCAAACCTTCCTGAACCTCCAAAGCAAATTGGAGGAGGAAATGGATTCATTTTGACAGGAGCTAATCTTTAGCTGCTCCGGATGCCTGCAAAGGAATATCTCGAAATCCAGAGATTTCTCATTGCTAATATGTGCAGGATGTCTCTCTGGGACACATGAATTATGGTTAGTTTTAAAAAGTGAGGCTATACCAGTAAAGAGATAGGTATTGGAAGAACTTTTAGAATTGTTTTCGGCACATGTTAGTATCCCTGTGAGCTGCGATGGGTTTTGGCCACATTTTAGTGCGAAAGATACTGAGATAGAAAGATATAAATTAAAAATTAGAAATAACTTTGGCTAATAAACACGAGAAGCCACCCTTAACAGAGTTTTTGGCCTCTGAATTTCTAGGCTCAGGGTGCCTTGCCCACGACATCACCTTCTCCCTCCCCACAGGGAGAATTGCTAGAAAGGGATAAGCAATTTCTTTGTTGTCAGAACTAGACAAAGTAAACCGGGAGAGGTGTTTTGCAACCTGATTGTGGGAGAGCGGAGATAGCCCGAGGCTTTAACACCAGGACAGGGCAGAATCCTGCTCAGAAGGTGCACCTAGCTCAAACTGGATTTCACTTTCTCCCGTTCCCCCTGCAGGGGTTCTCAAATGGGAAAGTCTGACAAACAGGTTTCTAGAACGTGGTGTGGGTCAGTAGACTCTAACCCACTTTTCTGAGCTGGAAAAACAAAACAAAACCAAAATAACTGAGAGTAGAGTATGAGTAAGCTTGTCTCAGTTAAATATCTCAATATGGACCCTGAGAAAGAGGAGAAAGGGTATGAAAGAGGGGGAGGGGTAGCCCTTTCTGGACCCTAACCAGCTTTTCTGTGCAAGCTGGGAAAAGGCCTATTTTTCCCAGCCCTCCAGGTATGGCTTATGGTGAAGGAAAGTCACCCGCTCCTCTGGGCTGATGTCAGCCCCCCAGCCTGAACTTCTTGGCCAGGAATCTCTGCAGAGAAAGGGCACAACCCTGTGTGCAGAACCCACAAAGATCTCTCGGCCTCTTTTCTTTCCATGCTTGCCTCTCCCCTTTCCCCATCAGCCGAGGATCTCCTGCCATAAGCCTCAGCTGTCTGGCCCTGGGGAAGGGAGTGCCTGTCCCTCCCAGCCCCACTGCGGTGCCGTGCTGGAGATGGCCCCAAGAACATGACCCCATGAACTTCCAGGGACTAAGGGACTTTGCCCCACACAGCAAGACGGAGTCTCTCAAAGCCAGTGATGGAGGAGGGGGATACAGAAACACTAACATGCACGCTAATGTTCTTCCCAAATTGGCCTCTTTCCTCAGATGATCTTCCATAGGAGACACACGCTGGCTTTTTTGGGTGATTTGGGGGAGGTGTGGGAGGAAGACCAAGAAAATGAATGTGAGCAGATTGGAACTGCAGCCAACACTAAACCATGGGTAGATGGCAGTGGGGTCGGGTGCGGGGGCCTCAGCAGTGACCCTCCTGTGCCCTCCTCAGGCCGAGCTCCTCCCCTACCTGGCATGAGAGGACACCCAGGGGGTGACAGGAGCAAGAAGGGACAGCAGCCCGGAGAGCTCTTCCTCAAACCATTCTCCTTTCTCCCTTTTGTTCTCAAAAGCAGGTGCATTTGCTCCTTCATCTTCTAGCTGGTGAAGGCATTAGACATGTTAAATGTCCTGTGGTCTCCCCAGCACTGTCCAGTTGGTCCTTCACACGGTGGGCACCTGAGGAGATACCCAAGGGGCGGCTGATGTTCAGAGGCATCAAAGAAAGGCCCCCCACCTCTGCAGCTCATGAAGCTGGCTGGACATTCTCACTCTTCCTTCCCCACATGCTTGTTCGCAGAGGCAAGTGCTCAAGGAAGTCAAGACAGCAGGACTGTTGCCATCATGCAGTACGAGCACAGTGAGCCGCTGTACCCGAGGAGTGACAAGGCAGACGGTGAGTACACCGACCGTTACACCCCCCCCCCCAGCGCTGTGGTGCGTGGAGGGAGAATCGCTGGGCTCAGACGTGTGGCTCATGGTGAGTGGCAAAGAGCCAGATGGGGACAAGTGGAGTTCGGGGTCCTGGGGCAGGATGCTTCTGATGGTTGCTCATTGCATTTTGAATACACCCCACCCACCTCCCCACCCCAAGTGTGCTGGGGGGCCCTCATTCTGGAAGGGTTCTCTATGCGCCCCCTCCAAAAGAATGTTTAATACTCAGAAAAACATATTGGTTTCCGGGTACCAGGGTACCCAGGGTACCCACGGTACCCGCGAAACAAAGTTTGTCTGGACATCATGCCCCCGTAGCACACCACCTATGAATAAGGAGTACCAGAGATTTCTGCACTGTTCCCATCACAGGGTCCTTCAGAGAGACCTCGGAGCAGGGACAATAAAGTACAGGCCCAGGGACTCTCTTCCCTGTTTGTCCCCGGAGGCGGTAGGAATGGGAGGTTTCCCTCAATCCATGGCTACTCTTTACTGCCCTGGTGAGCCATTCGGCTTCCTCGAGCACCATTCGCAGCACTGACACCCCCGGGTTTTGAGGATGGGGACACAGAGGTGACGAAGGACCAGGGATGAGCCTGCAGAAGGAAGTGCTGTCGTGGCAGGCCCCCGCCCCCAACTTGTCCTCTCTGGCTTTGGGCAACCACTGACACCCTCTGGTTTTCTGGAAGCCTCATGCGAGCGGGTCCGGAGGGCATTAAGCTTTCGAGGCAAGGCAGCAGTGTCTGTCTGTTAAAGAGTTTAGCTCTAGTGATTTTTATTAGACAGTATCTTTTTTTTTTTTTCT